TCATTTCAAAAACAAAAGTTTCATCTACTGAATGGAAATCCAACAGCAGCATCCAGGATTCATAAAAGTACCTTGAAATTTCCTCTTGGCAGGCACATAGAGATTACGTATAATTACATGCTGAGTAAGGAGTTGCCTTTAATAGTGCTATCCCTATACTCAAGTCATCTCAAGCACCACAAGATGGTAGCATTTCTGAACAATGCGAACAATACTGACACTCACTTTCTTCCCTAGTAAGTTTCAGCACCCTTAACTTTGTGAAACAGCAATATTTAGATTTTTTATATTATTTTAAGATACTTATTATTCTTTTCAAATAATAAGGATAGCTTAGCTGAATATATTGGGCTATATTTACAGGCACTTACTCCCTCTACAAGTGTTTAGCCAGTGTGCCTTCTAAATGCCCTACAAAATAAATGACATCTGTTTTTTGTCCAGATCAGTTTAATATTTTAATTAACTCTCTGGCTAAGGGAACAAAAGACTTACTAATAAATCGCTGTACACAAAAATGGAAGAATTATTAGTACTCGGGAGGACATCAATGGAATATAAAATAGTCTTGCTAAAATTGGAGAACCAGGAAGATGAAATTCAGTAAAAATGTGTAAAGAACTAAATGCAAAAGCCAGTTTTTGCAAAAATAACTACAGAGCAACAGTTTGAAGAGGAGGATTTATGCTCAAAATGATTAAAATCTCAGGATATTTCTTCAAAAGTAAGTACAAACAAAACAGATATTGTTCATTATTCATGAGGACCATATGAAACAAGCTACAACCACAAACCAAGGTTACCCTGAGCACTCAGCACTGACCACAAGGTAATTTGACCTGCACAAAAGCTTTTTTTTTCTTCTACTTCTTTTTTTCTAAGAGCCTAACACATTTACCCTGCTTCCAGAACAGCTCAGAGCACAGCAACCAGGGCTCAGCTAGAGCTGCACTCATTCATGAGGAAGCGGCCAAAAATGGAACAGGCAATTTTCATGACCTGCAATTGTTGACAAACAACCTCCCTAACTGTGCATGCACCATACCTCTGAACGCTCCTACCTCTTTTCACTAATGATAAAGCTTTCAAATCCCGATGCTTTGAGCTACACTTAAATTAGGTTTCCACAAAAGTCTGGGAGTAAGAAAACCCCAGTTAAGGGCAAAGACCTTTTACAAAATTTAATTTTCCCATGGATCCCCCCTCAGTCTCCCTTGGCCCTGCAAGGGCAGAGGATCAGCACGAAGTTTCATGGTCAGCAGGCCTGAAGCTCAGAAAGGACTTCAGGGTAAAAATCTTCCAGTGGCGTGGGCTCACTGCCCAACCACAGGCTGCTCCCAGCTTGAGAGAAGGGAACACAGCAGTCTGGAATTAAGAAACACTCTCTGACGCAAGAGGAGGAGTAGATTGCTGAAGAGGCTGTGAAATATATGTTGTTGAGAGCTTTTTAAAAAGCATATCCCAGGCTTTCGGCCAGGACATTTCCAATAGCTTGTGGAGACCTACCCTGGAACATGATAGAGTGACTGGAGGAGGCAGCCACCCTGTCACAGGGACACAACAGATCAGCAATGCTCATATGGGCATCAGGAGTGGTCATGTAAACTGTTCTGAAAAGGTCTAGGTGACCTGCCAAAATCCAGGATCTGGGAGGTTATTCTGGTAAGAAGAAAAACAGATCATGGAGTCAGGTATTGTTCCATACTCTTTCATCTGCTTCACAGTTCAGGGCCTTTATCAGGCACCGCTTCCAGAAACAACCAATCTTTTTTTTTTTTTTTTTTCTCTCCTAAGGTACTTCCCCTGATTGTATCAGACTTCAGCATGATGTCTGCTTTTTCTCTGTTTCTTCTCTGTCACATCACCACACATCTTCTTCAAAGCAATACCAGTAAAATCTTCTCATTTGTTCTTTCAATTTTTCATTTGGATGATTTTCTTTTACTTTGGAGAAAGACATATGCATTCAGTTGGGAAAGTTGTATCTCTTAAGAAACTTACATTCATCTACCTTAGACAAGCTGAAAACAGCTGTTTAAACAAGATTCAGATCAATGAGAAAAAAATTAAAATATTATGTTAAGCATTTATAATGCAGAAAAGCTTTTAAAATGCAATTTTTAAAATTTGTGTTGTGGAACAGTGTTAAACAACACTTATATGCAGAATGAGATCCTTAGAGAAATTAGAGCGATTGAAGATTTCATAGGCTGTCCAAAGTACTTGTGACAATAGGATAAAAGTTATATAAAAAAGAAAAAAATACCTACTACATTTAGGATTTAAACAATAAAGAGTGTTCATTCCTTCACATAAAATCTGTAATGTAGCTATAGCAATACAAGCCTTTTATCTGCTGACAATGATGTCTTTCTTTTAAGATCTAAAGAAACCACATGAAACTGACTTGCTTTTGCCATGCTACAGGTAAAGAGAACCTCTGAAAATAAGTTCACAAGAAAACGTGTTCATATATAAATATACATGATAAAGCTGCATTTATACAAAAATATACATACTACAAGTGAGAAAACAGTATCAGTAAAAGACATATATCCACCCACAGTATGTGAATTATTTAGTGAAGACATGCCTCTTATCTCCATCAACAATTTTTGGAGATTGGTCTCAAAGAGTTTGCTTTCGTCAATAACCATTCTTTCTAATGTGCTCACCAAACTGCAGACTCCATTCCCACAGAAACACTTCCAATCATCACGGCTACGCCTGTGCCAGGGGCACATACAGAACAGTCCTGCCTGCCTTAGAGGATGATCAGCATCTGGGCTGCTGTGCAGCAAAACACATGCATTGTTCTACTGATCCTATGAATGATTTAACTTGTGCAATTACCACCTCTACCTATGAATTAATCTGTATTTACAAAAACAAATAAAGTTATGAAACAAGCTGGATATTTGAAATATTTCTTGGGGTACTGAAGAAAAGCATATATGAGGGAAGGGAGGCAAGTGAAGGTATTTAAAAAGTTGCTTTGGAAGAGTTTTAACTAGAACTTTTAAGATATCTGCCCACAAATCTTTAGGCTCTTGTGTGCCTATACAGCCAGGCTGCCCGCCGTCACCCCACCTGAAAGCACCAAGCCCTCGGGAGCCAACAGCTTCACAGCTACAGGAACCTATAAGACTGGGAGCCCAGAATTTCAAAAGTTTTGTAAATGATGGTTTGCAATAGGTAAATCGATTACATGCCTAAACTTTGAAAGTTAGCACCCAGGGAGAGTCCTGTTACTATAAATATGCTACTATTCTTCAAAAGTCAAACACAGCAGAGAGGAATAAGGGCAAGCAAAGCTCAGCCCAAGTGATTCTGAGCTGTTCTAAGCTGTATCTGGCAATAACGCACCATGAGAGCAGAATTTGGTACTTAAACATACTGAATTTGGACCTTGAGTGAAATAAGTCAAAGAAGGATCTCTTCGCTAATGCAGAAAAGATGCAGAAAAGATGCCAAAGACAAACAGACGTAAAGTAAAATCCTCAGAAGTAAATTGCTTAAACCGATTATTTTCCTGTTCCATTCAAGAATATTTATACTATCTTCCAAAGTCCTACAGATAAACCAAAATTTTGAAAGACCTCAAGTTAGAGTCAAGGAAAATGGAATATGCACAGAAATAAGACAAAATATGAGCTTTAAATTGTTCATTGTTTCTTAGGATATTAAGTTATATAACATACCTCTCAAGATTTTTTTTAAAAAAGTATTAAATAGCACTTACCGTCAGAGATAGCTTGCTTAAATATATTTGCTTTAATTGAATTTTAACAGATTCAATGAAGTTTATCTAAGCTTTCTTTGGAAAGCCTTTAAGAAATGTATCTAAACCAATGCTGGAAGTATTTTAAGTAACAGCCTACTTCTATTTAAATCAGTGTATTCAATAAATTCAATGTATTTAAATAATATATTTATTTTTTTTAAAAAAAATCTACATGTCTTCAAGTCAGATCACCCCGAATTTCGGAGAGATAAGAGAATCATTTGTAACGAAATTTATTGCCTCCTTAGTAACAAAAATAATATTTTGCTTCACAGCTATTGACATACTCATTTACCCTTCACAGAGGATATTGCAGAAATTTGCAACAGTGACTTCGTGAGCAATAAAGCACTTGGCTAAGATATTCTTGCAGAATAACTAACTTATTTTCTTTTTTTTTCTAGACAATTATGATAATACAAGTACAATATCAAGTTATTGGTCTATTTTAGTAACAGATAATGGAACTATGTTTTGTATTGCTTGCATCTTAGAGTGCGTTCACTCTCACATTGAGCAACAGTTCTAGTAGGAAAAATTACCGAAGAAATATTTTCAAAGCGTAAATAAACTATTAGATCATGTTCTGTCAAACAGAATGTACTTTACAAATAAACTCTGCTGCTTCTTGCTCCAAGACACATAAATTATGCTAGAGTGCACAACACTTTGAACTTTAAATAATAAACATTGTTACACATAATTAACAGTGTAGGATTGTCTATACTAAAAAAGCCTGTTATTTACCCAAAGTAGATAATATAAAACTGTCACTTTCACTGTGTACATATGTTTATTTTACATTTTTTTTTATTTCTAATAAATAGACATCTCGACACATAAATACTCTTAAAGCATATGTATTTCTAAGGGCATACTGATAGAGAAAGAATCTTTATCCAAAATTCTGTGTACTCTTACTTAGTGATTTAAAGACAAATAAACAAACCTAAAGCCATAACATTGATCCATACACCTCAGTAAATAGAAAATTAGGGATATAAGCAAACAAGACTCCACACAAAACAATAAACTATGAGCCCCAGCCTCCTTCCTGAGAGGTGGTTACAAGGACCCACTAATATAGACATAGACATTCCTAACACAAGTACCACTTTCACCGTAAAGAAACCATCCTAGAGTATGCCTCGAGGACTGGGCCTTTTTTGACCTTAGTTAAAAGTTTATTCTTAGTTTTTAACTGCACGGTCTTGCAATGACCTTTGAATCAGAATGGCAAAGACAGAATGTCCATGGGATTAAGGACATTCAGAGACAGCATCTGGAGCTTCACGAGTCATTTGTGAGACATCTAGAAAGGATGAAGGACATGTGGAAAGACTGCCTATGTTTGATTCTGCAAGTCAGAGGCAGTGGGCCTCTGAGGCCCACATCTGAGGTATGTCTTTTGACAGAAGGAATTGAAAAATACATTGTCCAGAAGTAGGTGCTTATTTTAATACTTATCCACAAGCCCTATCAAAAGTGTTTTCTATACTTGAGATAGATTCAGTGGCAACAGAAAGCAATGTTTAGCAATTACACGGAAAACACCATAAAAAATCACTGTGTTGAAACACAGTTTAACAGCAACAAACTCCCAACTGTGAAGTTCTTAATACTGGAGAAAGGTCTATAAAGTGGTTGTTCTTTTAACTTCTGTTTGCATTGTTTACCCAGATCTCTCACACCATTCTTCTGCTCTGAGTCTAAAACTTCAAAGAGATGATTCTTGGAAGGGACTTGGACTAAAATGTAACACCATCACACTCCTGCATTTTTGAAAATGCAAAGAGCATGTATCAGGCTTGCTGAGGCAATGTGGTATTGTGGGGGCAAGGAGAAGAACCGAACAAGAAAAGGAGTGAAGCATGTCAATAGCCTCTGTATTCTTCTTGCTATTGCTGAGGGGGACAATAGTTATTCTGTAGGGGGGACTCAGAGCAATAAAATAAACTCACAAATGCAAAGCTGTGATCAGCAACATTGAAAAAGTAGGCCATTAAGTGGTTATTGGACCATATTTTACAACAGGGGTGCTAAGGTACAATAGAGTAACTCCCTTAAAAAAATTTGGCCCCGCATGCAAGGCTTATCCTTGAAAATTATGTTTTCATCACCCTGGCATGAAAGCTACATTTTGCAACAGGATCATTCATCTAGATATAAAAAAGTTATTAAACTAAATCCAACTGAAAATTCTGGCAAGAAAATCCCTTTCAGAAACAAAGAGTGTAGTTATTTGCTCACATAATACTGATTTTTCATGTCTATACTTGCCATTTTGTTACCCCTTTCTTTTTTTCTTTTATTGCCAATTTGGCGATGTCTATGTGTTTACCTCCCCATTCAGAAGATAAGCAACTATTAATACAGACACACCCCAAGCAGCTGGAAGATGAAAATGCTCATTTGTGTGAAATATTCATGACCTTCAGCTAAGAAACACTTAAGTGACAAATACACATAAAACAATATTTTCTATGCATATGGTTGTCATTCGATCAAAATAATCATTATAATACCATTAAAATATCTGTTGAGTCATGTTGTTTCTCTTTAGCCTCATGAGGTTTATCAATCAAGGTATTTGATAGATCTCATTTGCATTTCATATGAGAAGCTACATAAATGAACATGAAGAATTATTTTTTTTCCAGAAAAACTTTTCAGAAAATGAATAGATACTTTTGGGTCCAGCTAGAATCAATGGGTGCTGGAGCTTTTTAGAACTTTCAATAATTGAGGGCCCAGTGGTGTTAAGGTGGACAACAGACTAAATGGGTGTCAGGCATTGCCAAGGTTAACTCTCATTAATGGCCTTGATGTGCCTCACTTGGGATCACGTGCACACTCGCACATCATGGGCCCAGAAACTCTTTATAAGCTCAGGAAGAGGGTGGTCCTTGCTGTATCTTTCTACTGGGTGGTCCTTGCTGTATCTTTGCATCTAATTCTATGTCCAGCCCCTTCTCTTGACGGGATTCCCTAGACCAGATTCATTATCTTGCCTTGTCTGGGGTTACTGATTGGTCCTTAGACACTGTTGTGTTTAGGTGCTGTGAGTCAGGGGACGGTACTGCCTGTGTTTGGGCCACCCTGGCACCTGTCTTATCTCCTCTGCCTTGTGGAGCAGCCCTGCTCCTTTTTGCATAGCACTACATAGGACTACAAACATGTTTTCTACAGTCTAATTTTACATAGAGAATGCTTGATAGTCTCCCATGCACCAAAATAACTTTGCTTTCAGTGATTTGGAAGAAATGACCTCTGCATGTATAGTGAACAAAATGTATCTCTGGATTATTTAAAAGTCCCTACATTACCTAAAATTCTTCTCTTCCCTGGCTTATTGTATGATGGCTCTCTGGCTTCTAAGGGACTTCCTAGGATTTTATCATGTAATCCAGTTATACCATGATGACAAAATACTTCTGAAAATGGTGTTGCATATAAGGTGCAAGAAATCTTTTTTTTTTTTTTTTTTTAAAGCTGTATTTGAAAATAGGAATTTATGTATAGAAAAGTATTGCTAGTAATATGCAGTGGGGGAGACTGGAATATCTGCTCTATTATCTAACATTAATAACACCTTGAATGTCATATAAAGTTTCTAATGAAACCAATTCAAGTACAAAATAATGAAAGAACAAATAAGCTATAGATATTCCCTGGTGTACTGTTTAACTACATGATGTATACATGAAAACTGGGAAATCAGAGGCAAGCTGAAAACTATCTCAGGCATGTCTGAAGTTTCAGGAGGCAAACACCCTGTTCAAGGGCTTTGAAAGATAATTCCAACTTTCACCTAGAAATTTGAATGGATAAAGTCTTCCAACCAGCAGCTATTCAAAACATTAGAGTTATGGGTGACTCCTAAATATAAACTCTGTTTTTATTAGCAAATATCAACAAATCAGGAAAGCAACAGAACAGCTAGGCATGTAGATGGCTTCCTAGAGCCAAAATTTGTTGTATTTGCTCATTGCTACAGTTTTTGCTTGGGACCGTCACATCTCGGAAGTGCTCCTTGGTATACTGACACAAGCCAGTGTGTCAGAAAACTTGCCTAGTGATCATTAGAAACTTTTCCTACTAGACTCCTACATTATCCTATTCCAAGACAGGTGAGAGCAAATAAAAGGATGTATTGACACCTCCTAAGGAAAAAAAAAAAAAAAAAAACAGGGATTGCAATATTAGTCTCTTAGTCTAGAACAGTAATTATAAAGACAGCCAAAAATGAAAGGGAATGGAATGTGTGTATGTTAGTAAGGGACCCTGAAATTGCCTAAAGCTCAAGTCAAGTTTCACTAACAAGCAACAAATATTTAAAGGATCAAAGCCAGTATGTTATCCTAAAGCAAATCTGTCTTTGTGTTCAGTTCATTTTCTTTCTGGTTTTCACCATGCTTTAAAGACTTGGTTTTCTAGCACAGCTTACACCAGAGAATGTATTCTCTACAATGCCCTTTAATATTTCTCTTTCTATAGGTGTTCCATTCAAATCTTTATCTTAAAGTTAATTGGCTCTTTAGAGATTCTTTTGATCTTTCTCTACAAATGATTAGCTGTCTCAAAAGTGAAAAAAGGTTAGGATCCCTTTGGCAGATCAGGCACTACTTGCTATATTTAGTGAATTGGGCGGGGGGTAACACCACACCACGCCTACTAGTAAAATGTGAATGCCATTAATAATTAATTCATATAATTTCTTGATGACAGTGTATTTGGGAGGATCCAAATAAAACAAGCTTGTGTGCTTCCTTCCTTCAGCGGTCAACAAAACTGTTCGTGGAGCAAGAAAATCTGAATAGCTTGTTTCAGTGACTGGCTCAGCATTACAACTTAATATTCCAGTTATTTAGCTTAAGAAATGTTGCTTTATGAAGTATGACTACAAAATAAAGGTAGTTTTGTCTTGCTGAATTTGTTTATTTATATTGCTTAGTCATGAAGAATAAAATAGGTTACAACTTACCTGCTCATACATGGGGTAAATGTGATTCAGAAGGGGTGGTGAAGAAAATACTGACTTCCTTGATTCTACTTCTATTCAGAACACAGGTGCACTCTTCTGTTCTTATATCCATACAATCACATCAGTATCTGTACTTTCATTTCACAGCAACTTCTAAAGTGGTGCATCATGGTACAAATGTTACAAATGTTCAGGAAATAAGCATAAATAATAAGGTGCCTTTTTCTTTCCATGAGTAGACTACTTAGAAAAGCTATAGTAAGGTCCTATAAAGTATGCATGCATATAAAAACAGTGAAAGCATGAGCAGACTTGTTATATGCTAAAAACTAAAATGCTACAACAGGCAGAGTTGCTGTTGAATCTCTGCCATTTTCCTTTCCACACATTTGTGACCTTTTACAACAAAGGCAAAGTGAGATGTAAATTTTGCCTCCATTTTCACAGAATCCCAGAATGGTTGAGGCTGGAAGGGACCTCTAGAGATCATCCAGTCCAACGCTCCTGCTCAAGCACGGACACCCACAGCACGTGGCACAGGGTGGCATCCAGCTGTGTTTTGAAGATCCCCAGAGAAGGAGACTCCACAACCTCTCTGGGCAGCCTGTTCCAGGGCTCTGTCAAAAAATTTTTCCCCACGTGGAGATGGAACTTCCTATGTTTTAATTTGTACACATTACCCCTTGTCCTGCTTGGCCTCATCTTCTTTACATTCTCCCCTCAGAGAGGGAGATAAGATCTTCTCTCAGTCTTCTCTTCTCTAGGCTAAACAGGCCCAGCTCACTTAGTATTTCCTCATATGATAGACGCTTCAGTCCCTTAATCATCTTCCAGTCATCATTTTGTCAGCTGACCCTGTGCTTCTGCAGTTATCTTCTACCTGGGGTCTATGGAAGTTTAGTCTTATAGAATAATATCATCTAATGTATAAATATGTCTCCCACCACTTGACCATGAGACTTTTTGAGAGGTTTTTTTCCACACTAATAGAAGGTGTTGCTTCCATCTCTTCTCAAACCCTGTTACTAATGCAGTTGCATTAAATTGTGAGGAAGTATTTCATAGCTACCATTATGTTGTAGGATGATATTTTTAAATTGCTGTTGGTGTTTCAAGAGAAATATTTAAAAAGTGGCTTATGAATTTGAAAGATTTTCACTCAATTCCAGGTACAGCTTCTTATCTAAAAATACTTACCCGCACAAACATTGCCTCACTGAGGAGACATCTTTACAGATATTCCCTTGTAATATGTTACATTGGACTGTAGTGGTTTGTTTTAATCTTGGTTTTGGATTGTATGTTCTTTCTAAGGTTTTGTTTGGTCCTCAACTGATACAGCAACTACACAGGATAAAAAGTAGGCACGAGTATAAAAAACTCCAGACTCCAAAGATGCATGCTTTCTCTAATAA